ATAACTGGTATATAACAGTAGATAATGTACCATACGACGAATAGCTCCACAAATTGCATACATCTTTTGAGAATCAGTCATGCGTCCAGTTTCAGGATCAACATCAGCAATACTCAATTGAATAGATGCATGATCCTTGGCATGAATGATACGATTACTCGATGAACTATAATAATTTATATAAAAATCATATTATTCATACATTCATTTTTTATTTAAAAAAAACATCAAAACTATATGTTAGAAACAATAATCCACGTGTATCGCATACCATTTTCTTGGGATGTACAAGTCAACAATTACTCCGTTATCGTTCTCCATTTTTATATCTATAACAAAGTTTAAAATATAAAATGTTTACTGTACAAAATTATAACACTAGGAGCTTTTAAATTAAAATATTTCCTTACTTCTAACTGCTAAATATGCACTATAAAATGGCTTCGTACGAGAAAGAGTTTTTCCGATAACATTACATATGTCAGAAACTAGAAAATCAAGCTTGCCAACATAATAAGTCTCTATATATTCCTAAAAATTCAAATATATTTCTATGTTCACACCGATATGTATCAATTTCTCATTTTTTTTAAACATAGTCTTATTAAATACTTGAAAACAGTAGATATTTAATCAATTATATATGATTAATATAACAAAAGTATATATTTCTCATTATAATAATTTCTTATAATATTTCTTTATAAGTAAATGAACTAATAAGATATTTGTATAGAATAACAATACACACACACACATATATGTCATATCAAATAAAAATTAAATATGCAATGTGATATATTTATATTCAAATTAAAAATTTAAATCGTGTACGATTAGTAGCGCCGCCAAGCGGACAGCGAAGAAAACATATTCTGTCTATATTACAGCCGTACAGTTCCATCGAGCATTCGGTGACTTGAAGTCATCCGGTGTATCGAGACGTTTTTGTAATGTGCCTTCGTATTTCGTAAACACGGGAAGGTTTATTTAACGTTTTGCTACGCGTATTTGAACGAACTGTGATACGAAAATGTGTCCCCGATGTTAAAACACGTATTGTTTCTTACATGCCAATTACAATTAATACACGATACCTAGCCGAAAGTATGCTCGGTGCACTGCAATGCAATTACAACATTAATGCTAAGTGCACTTATATTTTTTCCCATAAGAACAACAAAACGTTAATCACGCGAGTTCCAGCTACACGTGCTCGTCTAACATGTCTATGAAGGTGAGCATTTCTCTGTTAAAACTTCACTGTATTCAATTCGTTATCCAATATGCACTTGACTATATCGATATGTTTTGAATGAAACGTTGAATGCCACGTTTTTGAATGCAGTTCAAGATAAGCAGAAAATACCATTTTGATGTAATTTCGAAGATTTCGTTGATAAATCGCATGATGAAATGTATTTACACCTGGAATAACTTCAAACGAACAATCGAGTAAAAAGTTCGCGTTTGAAACGAATTCTCTATAGAAAGACGTAAAATGTACATTTTCAAGGAAACAATGTAAAAAACGTAATTGGCTTTTTACGTACGATTGCGCACATATTTTGTATACTATTTATGCATGTATTCATCGGGATGGTAATTTATTATTAAAATATGCATACATATACGATAATAAAAAAAGACGACTTTGCTCGTGATTCTTTATGTATGTACACATGTATGCACGCTTCAAGTTATAAAACTAGATGAGATCAGATAAAGTTTCAGCGAACTGATGTCATTTTCTCGATTGTGTATAATAAGTTGCAAACACGTTGTCCTCTTAATTCTACGAACGAGTACATGCCGTTTTTTTATCGTTTTTACTCGTTGATATTTTAATAGAACACGTGTATGAATAAAAGATTCGAAATAATCGCGTCACAGAAATCGATTAAGATCGCGGGAAATCTTTCTTAGGCATTGATTGTCGTGTTCAACGCTAGATGACCTAAAAACCGGTTGCTAGTACTAAACAATGTTGTACTTTGGTAAACTTACATAACTTTACGTACGTGTATTTTTAAACGGGATATACACATACACTGTTTTTTTTAAAATCGGTCGGACAAACTCTTGAGTGCGGAATTTGTTTGCTCGATATTTGCCTGCCAACGCTGTCTGCCGATTTGCATTTCAATTATGATCTCGTTCCGTGATTCTACACACGATGGATAAGCATTCTGTTTCGGTTAATTTCGTTAAGGTGTGTATGCACGCGTGTTAAAAATTGAGAAGATTTCCATATGAAACACCGCGCGTAGTTTCGGTCACAGTTTAGTTCATCCACCTTTCCTAATTATGATTGCTTAATCGATAACGTAGTTGACGGGAGACCGTAAAATATTCTTTCAGTAAAGAAAAAAGAAATAACGGAGGAGTGGAAATGAAATAAAATTGGGAATAATACTGGAGAAGAAGTGACCAGCGCTGTGTATATAACAAAAATTGTTTTCAAAGTTTTAAAGGTTATTTGTTCGTTCTCTGCTTATAGAAAGAATCACCTTGGGACGTAGAATTACATTTGGCAGCGGCACGCGGAGATGCGAAGCGCCTTCGTGTTCTTCTCGACTCTGGTCGTGTCCATGTCGACTGCAAAGATAAGGTAGAACAAAATCATCTTGCACGATTGAACATATGATTGCACAATTGAATAATATGATTTGCAAATCATAAGTTGCAAGTTATCAATATCATTGACACTGACATTGACAAACACGGTGATAGCACAAAAGAAATTTTACGATCATCTGCATTTAT